AGTATTAAGTGTGTCGCTGTATGTTGAAATTTCCTCTGAATACTGACAATATATAAAGATCTTGTTCACTGCGGTTAAATATTTTATTTCACTCCCACAAATCACAGTATTATGGCGCCCTGGGTAGATTAAATTCAATTTTGAGACTCATGCGAAGCCCTGAGAAGCCGGTGATAGCATAAATTGCTACAAAATGCACAATTAAAAAATAAAAAACAAAAAAGAAATATAAAAAATCCGGAAAATATCAGGCATACTCTATACACGTAACCCAACAATCTAACGAAGTTTCATTAAAACATTCAATTTCACCCTATATATACTGCTCCATTTTAGCTCAAATCCTCTACTCAATCAACTTTTAACATCGTGATTTACATGTACCCTACTACAGAAACAAATCATTTCTGTGTATCCTTCGTTAGCGGAAGATTAAAAATTTTGTCAAACACTTTGTACATACCTCTATCTAAACTATTAATTACTTTGATTGGAGGTTGGCAGTCCTGTCAAATGTATTGATTCCTGAATAAAACTCCAGTTTCCAGGTATCGTAGCTAGCTAGCCTGGGAATCTGGGCTCATCAGTCCGCGCAGACAGCCCGTCCTAGCCGGACGCGGCTTGTCTGCGCGCCAAATAGTTAACACCATATCAAATCAACTAAATCTACAACGATCTGTGATAAAAAGAAGACTGATAGATAATAAGCTTGTTCCCTCCCAGTTTAAATAACGTGGTGGCTTTGTTCACAGGTGCTGATGGCTGTGCGGTGAAGTCATAGGATACGAAAAAGTGTGAATGTTTAGAGACTTTTAAGTGTATAGTTATTGATGTTACCGAAAAAGTATTCGATTTAAATTTCGTCTTCTGTGCACTGCTCGTAAACGTTATATTTTAGGTAGCCAGTACCTAATACCAGGTTATGCTTAGGCAAGAACTTACATTAGGTGGTCGTTTAAACTTAACCAAACTAGAAAGTTAACGGTCAACAAAAGTTACTTTAGGTAGGTAGGAACTGTAGGTAGTTGTGCCTTAAACCAAAGTCTCCGAAACTTTGAGCGTTTCTAATCCTTGTATTTTACCTTGTGTGTAATGAGTGGATTAGGCCTAAAGGGGATACCACTATAAAAAAAACGCGCCGAGTGTCCTACCTCAATGGTGGTGCGGAAACGGACATTAAAATTACTATCTTTTTTCAAATTAATTACGATATCAACTACTTTAATTCTAAAGAAACTGTCTGGTGCCTGTACCGCGTGGATATTTTTAAGTAAAATTTTCTTTACAACTTTAATATAAACTACTTACTTAGGAGACTACGTAATTTCCTGCCCGTCACCACCAAAATTACCTTAGCACAGTCATTACTGCTTCCTATTCTTGATTACGCTGACGTCTGTTATCTTGATCTCAAAGAAGAACAGCTTAATAAGCTTGAGCGACTTCAAAACTTTTGTATTCGGTTCATATTTGGTTTTCGCAAATATGATCACTTTTCTCAATTTCGTTCACAGCTCAAGTGGCTACCTATCCGCCTTCGCCGGTATACTCATATTCTTACTCTACTCTACAACATATTGTTCAATCCTAAGTCCCGCGCTATCTTAAGGAATGTTTTAATTTCCTTCACACTTCTAACACGTTATCTCTTAGGTCATCAGAGAATCTTACCCTCATGACTCCTGTAGGTACACAGTACAACTTTTAACAGTCACTCATTTACAGTTCGAGCCGTTCAGCTGTGGAATTCTCTCCCAGTTTCGATACGAAGTGCGGAATCGATACATATTTTTAAGAATCTCGTGAAGTCTCACTATTTGTCTTTGTATTTTTTTTTTGTTTTATAATCTCTTTTGTAATTTCTACCGACTTGACTAGATTTATGTATGTATATGTTTGTACGTATATATATTTATAAATATAAAATATATGCGTATTTGTTTGTGTATGTATAGGTATGTATTAATAAATTACATTGAAATTTACGCCGCCGTCTCTCCCACTTCCTTCTAATCCTCTCCATCCAAAGGTTGTCTAAAAGAAATCGATAAGGCCGCCCATTGGAACACTTAATCTAAATGGCTCTGTATTTATTGTTATGTTTTCTGTGGTGTTCAATAAAGTGTTTTGTATTTTAATATAAAAATGAATCGCTGAATGTGTTGCCGAGGGCAAATCTCGAGAACAGCTGAAACCATTTCTATAATTCTTTTTATAGAATATTCCTTGAAGTGTGAGGATGGTTCTTACGCAGAGAAAATTTAAAAAAATGCCTGAATAAGTACAAAAACAACACTTTTCTATATCCCATACAAACGATTCCTAATCATACTTAAAAGTCAATTTGAACTTTAATACCATACCATAAATTTCAAATGTTAGTGGAGAGGTTCCGGGAAGGCAAAACAATTGAGTGACGTAATGTCAATAGAAGTTTGGAACAGGCAAATATACCATTTTCAGTATTTTGTTCAAAGAATTTCAGTTTCAGTTAATTTGCGGGTAAAGGATTTTGTAAAAGTTTTAAAGGAAACGATAACGTAATACATGAGTTTTGTGTAGCCTTTACCGTTTACCCAGCACACGCTACGGAAGCTTACAAATGGTGTATTTTTTTCCTGTTTTGCAACATTTTTCATCGATCCTCCGATCCTACTGGTTCTAGCGTGATGTTATAAAGGTAGCATAAAAAAAAACAAATCGGACCAGTATTATAGGAGATTAGCGCGTTCAACTTAAAAACAAACTAACTCCTCAGCTTTATGATATTAGTATGTCTAATTTTCACTGAAGGTTTATAAATATATGAAGAGTCATTTTAGTCTACATTACAGCTCTACACCGAAGCGAAGCGAGGGCGGGCCACTAGTTTATATATAAATCTAGCAGTTAAATGCTTAAAATAAAAATATGATTATCTACAACTTCAACTCTTTTTTAGACAAAAGCGTAGATTTTTCAGTATCACACTAGATATGTAATTCAGTGTTCACTTCAATATCAGCGGGTAACGAAATTAAATTGTTCTATCTCAAAAAATATTACTTTTATTCGAAAAATATATTTTTTTATTCTTGAATAAATAAATTATGAGTCATTTATTATATAAAATTCTTTAAAAAAATCTAAAACATTAAATAAATTAAACATAAACAAAAAAAAACCAAAATGAACGTAACTAAGTATATGTAATTTATTTTTATAAAAGTATAAACTAAATTCTGTGTAATAAAAAATAAAGTATTAAAAAGCGAAAATAAAGTACTTAAAAACATTTTAACTGTTCGTAGCGCATTTGGTGTACGATTGTTAAAGTGAGTAACTTTAGCAATGACCGGTAATATGATGGGTTAAAAAAATATATCTTATTCTCCGAAAGGAACATTAAACCGTTGGTTAATTGACAAAGTATATTATACTACATAAGAGTTCCTTAGTGACACTTCCTTGAAAGAAATGGACATAATTACCTAATTAACTTATATTTTAGCCTATTATAGCACAATTTATTATTATTTATTTTTAGTTTGACATAAAAATATTGCTTAGTAATTTTGACATAAATATACTTTGACAATTATTTCTAACTGTGACTTGTTCGATTGATTGTAATAATAATTTAATTTTTTATATAATTTGACGACCTCCGTGGCGTAGTTTGTACGCCGGGTTTCATGGTGTTGCCGACTCGAGAGGAACCCGGAGGTTCGAATCCCGGTGGGGGCAGATGTTAGTGTGTTGAATACGAGCATTTGTACTCCAGTCATGGATGTATAATATGTATTTCTATATAAATATACTTATATATGTACAGTATGTTGTATTCTATCCCATAACACAAGCCTTACAGTGCTTACTTTGGGGCTAGGCTAATTGGTGTGACTGTTGGAAATATTTATTTATTTATTATTTATTATTGTAAAACTGAGGAGCTCGATGGCGCAAGTGGTTAGCGCGTTCGGCTGCGATCGTTGAACTTAAGCAACTTTCGCAGTGGCCGGTCATTGGATGGGTGACCAAAAATTACTATCTCGAGCTCCTCCGTGCTTCGGAAGGCACGTTAAGCCATTGGTCCCGGCTGCATCTGCAGTCGTTAGCACCCGCCAATCCGCACTGGGCCCGCGTGGTGGGTCATGGCCCGATCTCCCTATTCCATCCATAGGGAAGGCCTGTGCCCAAGCAGTGGGAACATTAATAGGCTGATGATGATGATGATGATTGTAAACCTGATTATTTCATAAAAAAATATTGTATACCTTGTAATAAGGTAGAAATGTATGCATCTGCAGCAGTTGGCACCCACCAATCCGCACTGGATCGATGTGATACGTCAACACCCTCCTCTTTGCTCCATCCATAGCGAATGCTCCATAGCAAACAAATAATGATTATTGTAGAAAGTATTTAACATAAAATTAAATAGCTGTGCACTTTCGCAATGCTGTTATTATAAATAACTACTTCAATAGGGGTGATGACGGGGTACAGTACACGAAATTCTATTTAGTCCGTCAGTTAGATGATCAAAAAATAATGAACGTATTTTTTCTTTGGGCAATCAACCAAAAAATGACAAAGGTATAGCGCATCAAAGTTTGGGAGTAGGGGGTGACGTCACTTTTAAGTGAATATTGTACCAAAACGTGACGTCATGCGACTTTTCAAATCAATATATCTCTGCAATGTTTATATTATGTGAAAAAATACGTGTCCAATACTTTTTGATAATCTACCTGATAAACGAAGAAAAATAATTAGTCATCATCCCTATTCTTTTCTACTTACATATTTTTATGTTCAAAAGAAGTAATACTTACCTAAAAAGTGCGCTTAGCAATGTGCTCTTATGAAGAAGTTAAATATCTACATATTTTCAAAATCTGTTTAAACATTTTATTGAAATAATTCCTGTTCTACAGTTTCACCTCTTTTATTTAAGTCTAAAGTCAAGTCCCATAACAAATCCTAGAATAATATTAATAAAAAATAACGCTACCTACTACTATGAAAATAGATTTTTTATTTCATTGCACAACTCATCGAAATTGTCCACTCTCCACTTTCTCAATTCGGCTTCCAAATCCGATGCCTGGAGTCGCTCGAAGTCATCGACATCTGAAAGAAAACGTATTATTTTAAAGATTTTTTTACTATATCTATATTTAAGGTCACCAATCACCGAGTAATATATTTTCTTGTAAAAATTCTTAACATTTATAATTTTTTTATGTGTTGAAAAAGGCTTTAGTACATCCTATTTATCAGTCAGGGGGCCAATTGTCTAACGGGATTGCTATGGCTATCGATTACGATTTTATTTTGTAATTTCTGACCACCGAAATTTTCAAATACCGCACGCTCTATTTTTTTAATATTGCTATTACCAATGCACCTTCATAAGACGTTATCACGTCAAAAAAAGGTCTTTATATATATTTTGAAAACAAAAGCTTAAAAGTTGTTCCAGATGGCGTACGGCACCAAGTTCGATCTTCTGTTTAAATTATTTAAAATTGCATTTTTTTTTTCTTAATAAATTAGGTACAGTTAATTACAATTGGTTCGATATTTTCATTATAAAATGCTGCTAGATGCCATCAATTAGGCGAACAAAGCAACAGGGTATTGAAAACTAGTCAATGAATTGTGATTGTAATGTTAATATATCGATATGGAACATTACAACTCGGATGGATAAACTTGAGCAGTTATTGTAGTGTCATATTATTTTATAATTATTTTAGAATAATCATGGGATATATTTTAATGTTTTTTGCTATACTAAATGTTTTATTTGATAATGGATAACAATTTAAACATATTTGATGAACTTGAACAAATAACTGTGTCTAATTCATTAGTCTGCTCGCCGGAACAATGTTCTAGAAATTTGCTATATAACAACCAGACCTTTACTATATTTCAAATGAATATAAGAAGCATAACCTGTAATTTTATGAATCTACAGTTGCTATTACAAAGAGTGAATATAAAATTAGATGTTATAATTTTGACTGAATGTTGGTTAAGTAAGTGTCCTGTAGTTCCTATCTTGGACGGTTATTGCTCTTGTATTGTAATTATAATTATGTTGTATATAATTGTAATTTATGTTAGAAATGATCTTCCATGCTCAATTCTTAGATCCGATATAACTAACGCAAACAGCATAATAATTTCATTTTCAGAAATATTTGCAGTGGTAGCAATATATCGTTCTCCTTCATTTAAAAACCCTGATAATTTTATTAAATCCTTAGATAAAACCTTAAATTCAATCAAGAAATTTCCAAAAATCAGTGTAATTGGTGATATTAATATAAATATACTAGCGGAAAATACAGACTCAAATGCAGAATACTATCTAAACACTATTGCCTCTCATGGGATGCTACCAGCTCACACCTTGCCAACACGGTTAAATAGCTGTCTTGATCACGTAATTTTAAAGACAAAAAGTCAGGCTACGACTTTAGTCTTGGACTCGCTTATAACTGATCACACGCTAGTCATTCTTGCTGTTGATCTTAAAATCACTATGCATACCACAAATCGCTCCTACACTCGGCTTGATGAATCTTCATGTCTAAGTGAACTGGAAAAAACTGACCTATCACTTATTGTTAATTGCACTGATCCGGAGCAGGCAGCTAAGAAGCTTGTAAATATAGTTTCTGCTGTCGTTTCTAAACGTACGATCTCAGTTATCATCCCTAATAGAAAAATAATAATTAAGCCTTGGATAACTCCCGGTATCCTACGCTGTATCCGTCATCGCGATAAGTTGTATAAAAATACAAAAAAAGAACCGGACAACTATACAACATTGAAAATTTATACGCGTTACAGAAACTTCTGCAACAACTTACTCAAAAAGTTAAAAATTGTATATGAACGCAGTGAATTTCTGAAAGCAAAGAACAATGTAAAGGCTACTTGGGATACAATAAAAAAAGTATCAAATTTAAATAAAAACTCGTGCTCCTCAAGTGAACTGCTATCTCGGCCTGGTCATGCCTCTATTGATTCTATAAACCAGTGGTTCTCAAACTTTTTAAATGACGGAACCCTTTTGGGAAGCAAAATACTTGATGGAACCCTACAATAAAACAATTATTTTTATAAGTGTATTCTATATTAATCAGCATAATAAAAGTACAATGTATCCGTTACTAATTATTATTTACTTCACCACTTGGTAAGGACAATAATAGAAAACATTAAAAAAGAAAAAATCTAACTAGTGGGAGGTATGAAACTGTTTTTTATTTTTCATCAATTGCTTGATATCAGGTTTGATGGAAGAAAGTTGGAGTCTCATATCAGCTTCGGCGTCCAGTCTATTGCGATATTTTGTTTTCGTGGCTGCGTAGGTAGAGAATCCTGTTTCGCACAAATATGTAGTTGGGAACGGGAGAAGAATATCCAGAGCCATTTGGCCAAGCATTGCATATTCATCTTGGATTCTGCACCAAAAATCATTAAGAGGCGTCGTTTTGAACAATGACTCCATACTTGTGTCTGATGACATTTCTAAAAGAGATTCATATATCTCATTTGACATGTTTTCAGGCTTTTCCAAGTTGGGTAAAAAAGGATTATGAATCCAGGAGTTCACTTTAATTTTTGTATTGTGTTCTTCGGGAAAATACTTTTCAAAAGATGCGCGCATCGAACTGAGATATTGGACCAATTCTTCAAACACATTATCTTCAAACATTTCTGAGTCGTTTTCGCTAACAAACTCAGTGAGTAACGTAAAACTTTCTATTTCTTTCTTACCAATGCAAATGATCCAAAAATCTAATTTTCTTTTAAAAGTAGTTATTTTATTATAGGCCTGAAACACTGTTGTCTGTTTACCTTGCAATGATAAATTTAATTCGTTAAGTTTTTGAAAGATATCCGCCATAAAAGACAATCGGAACAACCAAGTTTTATCATACAAACGGTCCTTCAAATTAAAAGAAGTATCTGCTGAAAGAAACATTTGTAACTCGGCTCTAAGTTCAAATAGCCTTGTTAAAGTTTTTCCCCGAGACAGCCATCGCACTTCTGTATGGAGCAGCAGTGTTTTATGTTTGCTGCCATAATCTTCACACAATAATGAGAACAATCGGGATTGTAGTGGTCGTGATTTGATAAAATTAATTATTTTTACCGCTTCATCCATAACTAATTTTAGATTAGACGGCATTTGCTTCATCGCAAGTGCTTGTCTATGCAGAATACAATGACTGGAACTACAATTAGGCGCTTTATTTTTCATTCGTGACACTGCTCCTGCTGTTTTACCTGTCATCGCCTTGGCCCCATCTGTACAAATGTCAATGCAATTGTTCCAACTGAGATTATGTTCTTCAAAAAATATATTTATTTTATTAAAAATTTCTTCCCCGGTAGTGTTTGTAAGCAGCGATGAACACATAAGCATGTCTTCTTCAAAAGAACTTTTATATGGATATCTCACAATAACCAGCAGGATAGCCAAACCAGCGACATCAGTCGACTCGTCCATTTGCAAAGCGAATCGTGTATTTTGTAGACGTGTAACTAGTTCTTGTTTGACGTAGCTTGCCAGATCATGGATTCGTCGTGAAACAGTATCGTTTGATAGCGGAACAGTAGAAAGATGCTTTGCAGATTTTTCATCAAGCATACATTTTGTTATGTCTAATACACATGGTTTTATTAATTTCTCAGCGATAGTGTGCGCTTCACCTGCTTGTGCAATGCGATAGCTAACTAAGTATGATGCCTCCGTGGCCTTTTCGTTGGTAGTTTGTGTTACATGCATCATATTTTTTTGACTTTCTAATAACTGATCTTTTTTGCGAACAAAAAATTCTTTATTCTTGTCTTTAGTCTCGGGGTGTACGGTTTCTAAATGTCGACGCAATTTGGCAGGTGCCATGGAACTATTAGGAAGCAGTTTACTACAGAGCATGCAGAGAGGTGAGCCGTTGGAATCAACAAATCCGAAACTGATATAAGATTCATCATACTTCCTTTTTTTCGTCTTTAAAACCGTCGAGCTTGACGTCGTGGCACTCGTGGCATCATCTTCTGGATCGGTGATTGCTAAATTCTCCGCGCGCATTGCTTTTGAACATTCAGCGTCATTAGAAGATGTTGTTGGAACACGTTTAACACCTTTAAGCCAACGTTCCATTCTTCTTTATTTATAATGTTACAAGTCAGGATAGTGGGGTTTAAATAATGCACAATCGTTACTGCGTATAAGAGACTAAATTTAGAACCTACAGGGAAGAAATGTATAAAACTGAGACAACAGAATACAGCAGGCAGTAAAACAATGAACACCAGTTTCTCGCTAGCGAGCTTGTAAGTAGGTAGTAACTTATCGCTCCGAACGCTAATCATCAACTGACGACGCCAACGCGCGATCGCCGCTTTTATACTTAGTCCTAGACTCGATCTCAAATATTCTCGAAAATACTCGAGTCGGCACCTTTGATAAACAAAAAGCAAAAATAAAAACAGAAATTTAAAAATAGCGTTGTAAACAATATCGACTTTATCCTTTGAAGTTAGAGACGAAAGTCGCTAGTTGACAACTATAGCGTCTAATTCAGAGGCGGCTTTTATCAAAGAGACTGAGCGCTTACAAGTATACTACCCGCTCGTTTTAAGTTTGCCGCTGGCGATAGGTATGAGTGTATGACGTTCGAAATTTTTTATTTAATTGTAACAATAAAAATTGTGTACGTTAGATATTTGGGTAAAACTATGACACATTATAAGTTTTGTTGTCACGTGGGGGAGGGTACGCGCATTCCACAGACCGGCAAACTTAGAGCGAACGCGTTGTACAAGTATAAAATTGTTGAGACCAAACTTATGAGATATTGTACCAGCTAATGTAACACAAGCTTATACAAATACAAATAAATAAATAAATAACATTCATAGCGTTTTGTCTCCGCGCGGCCGCGGAGTCCGCACAGCCGCGGAGCGACCAGAGAGAGGTGTTTTGATTTTTTTATTTCTAAATTCTTGCGGAACCCCGACAGAGGTATCACGGAACCCTAGGGTTCCGCGGAACACACTTAGAGTATAGCTGCTATAAACGATTTCTTTGCCAGCGTCGGTGA